TTACTTTGGGAAATTAATGCGGCAAACGGTATCGATGTATTTATTGACGAGCTGTTATATTATTGGGTAGGCGTGACTAACGATCGCAGTAAATGGGATTAAACGGCTTCTCAGGCGAAATGATCATTTAGTTGAAAGCACGATCGCGAGAAATACACGCTTTTGCCACTTATCTCAAATTGAAGAAGATTATATTTTTTGAAAGTATCGCGAGAGCCAAATGGGAAATTAAATTAATATTGATTCTCGTAAATAATTTTTCTTCAATATCGATTTAGCAGCAATCACGTAATTACAGATATTCCATGATATATATACACATATAGAGAACATAAAAAATGCCTCAACCTTTTGAATATATATTTCAAAATATGCTAATGGGGCACATAAATCTCAGCTTGTATGATAAATCATATATATGTATATCTGCATATTGTAAATTATTATTAGTTCCAATAGTAAATTGCAGCAATTGAATAATCCATATCTTTAAAACAAAAAATCAAGAATATAAAAAATTGAATTGGAAAGAAAAAAAATATTTAGCAAATGTAATAAGTACAAGTCATTTTTTGCAGATGATATGCTTTCTTTTAATGCAGAAAAAAATTGAAAGAGTTTCAGGAAAAATAGTGAAAATATGATTTTTACGAAAGATTCATTTCAATCATGGATTGTCTCTCGTATAAATAATTTACGCAATAAACATTTACGAAAAAAAAAGAAGAAAAGCAGTTGCACAAAAAAAAATAAAGAGAGAGAGAGAGAGAGAGAGAGAGAGAGAGAGAGAGAGAGAGAGAGAGAGTTGCATTTTTTTCTATATAACAGACTATTCATCTTAGAGTTCCTAAATTTTTGCGGGGAAAAAAGATAATGAGCAAGCAGTGGTAAACAAAATTATCTGATACGTGAATTTAAATTAAACATAATTAATTAAACAGTGCGGCGTGTGTATTCTTCGATCGTCTGATTTCGAGAAGCTGCACGAAAACGTTACCTTTTGCCGGAACGCTCGCTTTTTCCCTCGCCCATCGCATCGTCTTACTGTCCAGCGATCGTCCTTCGAAGGAAGCGAAGTGATGACAAGATCAGGGGGACTCGTTCCTCGGCATCCACGAGTGTCCACGATGAACGGATAATAAGGTAAGGTATAAAGGAGCGAGCGAAGCGCCAAACCTTCCTTCTGGCGCGACTGCTGGCTCTTCGGAGATGTTGATAAGAATGTGCTAGGGGCGATACACCTGCGCAGCTGCGAGGATTGGTGCACCCAAGGATGGCAGGCAGGCAAGGTTGGCAGGCAAGGATGGTAAGCAAAATAGTGTCGGAGTGAATGCCGAATTGGACTAACCTGCGATTAATTATTAATAACAGGAGCAGTAAATTTCCATTCATCACAAATAAGAGATAATTCTAATCGAATAAGAATAATTATTTATATTCACAAATAAATACTGTATTGGGATAAAAATTTATTTCATTGACTTATATTAGCGTTTCTTTGAATTACAATTACTTTTGTCAGCTATAAATTTATTCGCCACTTTTATTCAGAAATTAGAATTTTACGAACAATTTATAGAGAGCTTACAAAAATGTGTTGTCATCAAATTCACGATCACAGTGCGATAATTATTAATTCTAATATATTTTCTCTTATTTTTTTGTTGATCCTTTTTTTTAAACTTAATTTAAATCCACTTACTGATTTAAAATTATTTATTAAAAATTATAGCAAAATACTTATAGTAATCCAAAATCTTTCTGTAATCTACTCGTTTTCTTTTCTTTTTTTCTTGCAGTTGACTTCAGGGCGTATTTACAATCAAAAGTTTTTGTCATAAATTTGGAAAAATATTAAACACAACAATTTTTTTTTTATGAAGACGTTAAAAAGCATATTATTTTTTGATACTTTAATTCTTTTAATAATCCAGATTTATTTATTTCATTTTCCAAACAGTATAACCGTAAGAAATGTTCTTTTTTTTATTTTAAGTTTTAAAAGCTTTTTTCTACTATTGTATAGCCAAAACATCCTTAAATACATAAAAAATGCGAGATTAATACATAATAATTGAACAATACAAACTTCAATACGAAGAATAATTTCTTTGTCAAACACGCAAAATGTCTATGCATCACATCTCTGCGTAGAACTCTTATCGTTAGTATGTTAAGTCGTAATGAACGAAACTAGAAGCAATCAAAAATAGAAGACGACGTAAACGTTCCGCGAAGTCAAGCAATTAAATGATCCAGCAAAAGAGTAAATGAGAACTGATATGGGCGGTTGTTCCGGCATGGGGTCACCGAGCGCGTGCGAATAGACCGAAAAGGTCTATAAACGGTAAGTAAGTGCGGAGGCAAGAAACTCATTCGAGGTTCACGTGGAAATGGTAGAAGGCGAGGGCGCATTGGAAGCAGCAGAAGCAGCAGCAGCAGCAACGAGAGATGAATCACATCCTAGATCGTGGCACAAGCCGCGAAGGAGGAAGAGGAGACATGGAAAAGGGAAGACCGCGGCCGTTGCTGGTCCGCGATACTCTTATTACACCGACATTATGCGTACTCTTATTACACGGACATTATGCGTATAATGCGTTGCGATCTGTGTCACTTCGGGGTTCTCATACCGCGTGCGATATATCGCGAGATCCGAGAGAGTCTCGCTCTTTTTGTTTCCTTCCTAATCACGTTTCCAGTCACGTTCCTTCCTTGGGCTTGTCTCGCTCGTTCGTCGTTTCACGGAGATTTCCGTTACCGTCGTAACGAAGCGCTTTTCTCCGTCTAAGGATCTTCACGATTGTCCTTGATCGCCACACCAGTGTAAGCTTTCAAGCTTATATAACTTTTAAATTATATTCCTCGAGTAATATCTTATATAATTAAGATAATGTGTAAATTTAAAATGCAAAAGTGAATTTTTTAAACGTGTTTATTCAAAACATTTTGCAACACGAGTTTGGAAATATTGTTGTTTCGTTTTCCATATTTCCAAACAAATCTTCTTTACATAATTTTATAATTCAGTTTATATATTGTTACAGATATATCGCCATTTGGATGCTGACGGTGGTCACACCAAGGTGTCAGGTAAGTGTCTTACTACATAATTGCATATACGATAATACACGCAAGGCGAAAATTTATCCATTATCCAAAATTTGTATCAAAGGCGACCAATCACGAGAACGCGGAGGTGGACGGAAACTCCGAAGAGTCTGTTATCGATGACGCGACCGAGGATTATTGGGCGAGTAGCGGATCGGGACCCGATGAGGATGATTCCCCTCATAACGAAACCAGAGAAGCGTTAACTCACGAGGCCAGCGACCACGATACTGTAAGTCACGCATCGCCAATTTGTTTCGCCTTGCGCATTTACTTATTGAAATTCATGGTATAGACATTGCGCAAGAAGTTTCTCTCCGATCAGTTATTTCTTTGTTCCGTTATCCTTATTTCTCTTTCTTTCTCTCTGTCTCTTGTTCCATACTGATTTGATTAGTAAAAATAAGATGCTTATACAGGGTATCCCAGACCTATCGCACCATCTGCTAATAGCAGATTTTTTAGATGATTTTTTCTCAACAAAAATGTCGAGGCATCAATAATTTCCGTGTTATAAGCCATTCAAAAAAGAGGACCTTTTGCAAACTAAACTTTATAAAGAATTAAAACTATACATTTTTTAGTTAATTTCAGATAGAATTTATTTTAATAGAGAGAAAGAGAATTATAATTTAAGATTTAATTACAAATATATAAGAAATGATGGAAAAAATTGGAAACTTGCAAAAAATAATGACCTCTCTCGACATTTTCGCTGAGGAAAAATCGTCTCTAAATGATCTCAAAAATCTCCTATTAGCAAATGGTGCAGTCTGGGACACCCTATATATAATAAAAAAAATTTGTGTTTGCTCCAATAATAAAATATTATATATTGCAATCAATATTAGATATAACATAGGATTTTACTTCATAATTTCTTAAAAAATTATTTATATCGCGAAATTTACATCAAAATAAAAATACACATCAACGTCACACTTATATTTTTAACACACATTATTATTAAATTATTGAAAGTGAAAGTTAGAAACGTGCCAGTAAAAGTTCTTAGGGATCTTTTGCAGACCCAAGAGATTTCTGCCAATAAATGTTGTAATTGCGTAAACAAATAGGGAAATGGAAGAAGAGTAAGAGGAAAGATATACGCGCACCTGCCGTACGACTTGTCCAGTTATAGTTAATTGGCAAACGGTTTCCTCGAAAGAGGATTAATAAAAAAGCAAAGAGTGAACTAGCAGAGTGGGAAAAAAGGAAGCGTGAAATGTGGAATGATACTCGCACATCTGTTTAGTTTCGCGTGATTCCTCGTTAGCGAGTGCTCGAGCGCAAGGCCGTAGAAAGAATCTAGATGCAGGTGTTCTGCATCCGCTATGATATTCAAGAAGATAAAGAAAAAAATAAAGAGAGAGAGAGAGAGAGAGAGAGAGAGAGAGAGAGAGAGAGAGAGAGAGAAGAGAGAGAGAGAGAGAGAGAGAGAGAGAGAGAGTTGCATTATTTTCTATAAAACAGTATCTTCATCTTAGAGTTCCTAAATTTTTGCGGGGAAAAAAGATAATGAGCAAGCAGTGGTAAACAAAATTATCTGATACGTGAATTTAAATTAAACATAATTAATTAAACAGTGCGGCGTGTGTATTCTTCGATCGTCTGATTTCGAGAAGCTGCACGAAAACGTTACCTTTTGCCGGAACGCTCGCTTTTTCCCTCGCCCATCGCATCGTCTTACTGTCCAGCGATCGTCCTTCGAAGGAAGCGAAGTGATGACAAGATCAGGGGGACTCGTTCCTCGGCATCCACGAGTGTCCACGATGAACGGATAATAAGGTAAGGTATAAAGGAGCGAGCGAAGCGCCAAACCTTCCTTCTGGCGCGACTGCTGGCTCTTCGGAGATGTTGATAAGAATGTGCTAGGGGCGATACACCTGCGCAGCTGCGAGGATTGGTGCACCCAAGGATGGCAGGCAGGCAAGGTTGGCAGGCAAGGATGGTAAGCAAAATAGTGTCGGAGTGAATGCCGAATTGGACTAACCTGCGATTAATTATTAATAACAGGAGCAGTAAATTTCCATTCATCACAAATAAGAGATAATTCTAATCGAATAAGAATAATTATTTATATTCACAAATAAATACTGTATTGGGATAAAAATTTATTTCATTGACTTATATTAGCGTTTCTTTGAATTACAATTACTTTTGTCAGCTATAAATTTATTCGCCACTTTTATTCAGAAATTAGAATTTTACGAACAATTTATAGAGAGCTTACAAAAATGTGTTGTCATCAAATTCACGATCACAGTGCGATAATTATTAATTCTAATACATTATCACACACGGTTTAGTTGATCCTTCTACCTAGAAGAAAAGAACAATAAAGAAAACAAAATACATAAATGAAATGAGCGAACTTTTTGATATCGGTGGCGTCATCTATCAAGATTCTAAAGTATCTAAAGATTTTGAGGACTAACCACAGTGGTCGCGACAGTCGCGATCATCTGATCTGATCTGATCATCTGTCAAAACTGCCATGCGTGACGTATGTACATACATACATATACATTTACATTGTATGTCATGTCGGCAGGACCGAACGGTAGGATCAACGAGAAGAGTGAGAGTGATTAGGAGGTGACCTTAGATATCGGAGAGAGCTTTACTAAGCTTCAGAATGCATGCAAGGAGATAGTATCGGCGAGAATGAATAAGAATATGAATTCGCCGTCGAAACTCACGGAGTTCGCTCCGTTGAGTCCCGAAGAGAGCCAACCTGTCGTAGCGTCACTTTTCTCCAAATTTTTCAGCTTTACTAAAAGTAAGTATCTGGCTAGATATTTTTAATTATATTATGTTAGTATAATCCATTCTGCCTTTATAATTATTAGATAATATTTATATTTATAATTAGATACCGTGCTTATTGTTAGATGCTCTCAATGTTTGATTACATCCATTATAATAAGGAGATATAATTATTGATTGTCAAAATGAAGATATAATACAAAATGTAGTATTTTAGTTTCTCCTCTTAGAGAAATTCAGTAATGATTCAGAAATCATCTATGTTCAACAACTCATATTAGTCTTAATATCGTTTTTTACTTTTATTATTATATATTATATATTATGTTTAGATTCGCCAAGCGCCAATGATTCTATGGTATCTTCTAACAATGACGAACGTAATTCCTCCGATTCCGATTCTTGGAAGCAATCAGAGAGTACGGAACAAACCCCTGATGATGATAGCACTAGTATGATAAATTTTTCATTAGCTAGCGAGGGCCGCAGTTTACCAAATATTTTGAAGCGTATTAGTAATATTGTGGCATTAAAAAGTAATGTAAGTATTATTACACTTAAAATTTTTTTGCATTATATTATTATTTTGTATAATATAAAATTTCTTGCAATAAAAATTTTGTACATTACTTTATAGAATCTACGTTCGTACAAAGATTCTCAGTTGAGAAGTTATTGGATGCCAGATAGTGTGAGTAAACAGTGCTACGAATGTGGTGAAAGGTTCACGACGTTTCGAAGAAGACACCACTGTCGTGTATGCGGACAAATTTTTTGCTCCAAGTGTTGCTCCGATCAAATACCAGGGAAAATTATGGGATGCACTGGTATAGAGAAACATAAATATCTCTAGTATATCCATATAAATATATATAGGTGTATGCGGTTGCTCCAAGTGTTGCTCCGATCAAATACCAGGGAAAATTATGGGATGCACTGGTATAGAGAAACATAAATATCTCTAGTATCTCTAGTAAAATATATATATATATATA